AATTTCAATATCGTGATAATACCGTATACCGTGATAAAAGCATTAGCAATTAATCGCAACATGAAAATTTGATACCGGTATATCCCTAATTGTAACCCGTGGCAACAGTGTAAAAGTAGCCCGGCGTCAGACCCACCTCTCCCGCATCGGCATCTGCACTTCACACGCGTATGCTCGCGGGCGCAAATTAAGAATCACAAACGGCTGTATTCGAGTCTTCAAGGCATTTTAGGACACAACATCGTCAAGTAAGTAACTTTAACGAATGTTACAGTATTCACTGTAGTTGTCCGCTAGTAAAAAGATAGTTTTATCAGTCATTATCCGTGTATGCCATTGTTTTGCGTTTACTACAGTTCAGTGGATCAGGAGGCGCTGGCTGGTGTGACTGAGTGGAGGCGGGACTAATTTGCATATTCATAGATCAGCGTATAGTAAAAAAGCAAGGGTGTAGAGTTGCATTCAAGCTATTTTAAGGAATGATAAAATTATTTTCACAAGAAAAAACATTTAAATATGTCATTTTGATGATCAAAGATAAGTTTTAAGGGATAAAATATTTGACTACAGGGGGACTTTAAATGAACATAGGATGTACCTGAGCTATATCTAGAAATCAGAATATTATAAAGACCAATTATGGCTTCTTGGTGCTGTCACCTCTTGGTTTGCTTAGTTGTGGTTTAAAAGAGACTAGCCACTGAATTTGATTCCACTGGATAGCCACTAGTTTATGAATCAGTAGCTGCATATAAATGTTGATTAAAAAAAGCTATTGCAGTGCATCTGCTAACCCAGAAAATGTGAAAAAGAACAACCAGTACATTTTTTTTGATAAGCTTTTGAAAAAAGCTGCTCAGATTTCGCTCCCCCTGTGACATAGAAAGGGGATTTTTTTTTAATAATATTACCGCCGATTAGTCTGTACCAGTTCTATAAACACAATAGCGAAGTTCTAGCAAAGCATGCTAACTGTTCTGTCTTTGGCTGCACTGACGAGAACAGAACACTGTTCCTCAGAGGAGACAAGAGAGCAGTGGATTTATTGATTTATTTACTGTATATAACGCTGTTGCCACACACATCTAATATAAACATACGAAGCTGTTTAACTTCACAGACATAATCGACTGTTTTTGTAACTCGTGTGTTTTTTTTAACATAAACTGTCTGTATATGACAGTTTAAGCGCAATAAGACATAAAAAACATGAGTTTACTCACATGCCGTGTGACAGACACTTTCTGTGTGCTTTCTGTTCAGAAAACCGTATATCAGAAGTTTGAACTAATACAGTTTAAAACTCGATGATAATCAAAACCAAACAGATGTGTTTTAGGAACGAGCTGTAAAGGCATAGTCCTATTCTGGAAAAGGGGGCAGGGAACAGCAGCTCATTTGCATTTTAAAGAGACATGCATGAAAACGGCTGGTTTCTGCTTACACTCAAAATAGGCATTTTCAGAATGATGTAATAAATGATCTGTGACATATTACATATTGTAAAAAGGGGCATAATAGGTCTCCGTTAAAGAATGATCATGTGACTTTTACAGGTGACCTGTAAATGCGAAAAAAAAAACTGTTTCCATTGCAGTTTTGTGACATATTCCTTTTTTTTTATTTCCTGAAACACCACCTCATGCGAACATAAAAACGTTATTTATTTTGCGTATTTTCAGTTCGCAATTTCAATTTGTAAAACAGCCGGAGACTCACCGCGCCTTCAAAACAATCCAACCGAGGTGCGTAGACCAAAAATGTTTCCCAAAGAGTAAAATACTTGAAAAAAGCCTGCACACTCTCAAAAATCAAAAGTCACAAGTGAGATGAAAGTAGTGTAAGCAATTTACTGAGAAAAATAAAACAAATGTTTCGGTCACATGTTGACCATTTTCAATGCCAAGCTAACAATGTTGGAACTGGGAGCCATCTTGATTTAAGAAATCACATGATGATTTAGGAGATCACATGATCAAACCAGAACAAGCACTGATCCAAAAAAGAGAGAGAGAGAGAGAGAGAGAAAAGTTAAACAACATTAAATCACACAATATCAAGATATAAAGAAAAGAAAAACATAATAAAGACTTTTTAATTTGTGCAATTTGAAGGGTAATGGAAACGCAGCTGATTCTGTTACTTTAATGTTTAAGAAGCTGCTTTAAAACAATCTCTGTTGTATAAAGTGCTATATAAATAACGGTGACTTGACTTGACCAAAACACCCCAATAACCTCATAGCAACATAATAAAAGCCATAAAGAATACCTTAGCAACCACATAGCAATGCCTGGCATAATTTTGTTAAATTTTGCTTATCTAAACACAGCTTATGTTTTCTTCAGAAATCAAATTTAAAATATATAATCCCATTACATGTGAGCCTAATGTAAGTCATTGTTTTACTAACATTGAACTGAAACAGCTTTTGAGTTTCTCTGTTTTTTATTATTGTGTGGGTCAATGACAAATAAAAGTGTCCAGGATAAAGGAAAGGAATTATTTTTAAAAATGTACTTTAAAACACATGTGCCAAATTCTTTGAAAAATACTCTTTGCATTAATTTTGGTTTAATGTGGTTTAACAAAAAAAAACTTTTATAACTTTTACAAGAACAATCCAAAAAAGTCACATAGTGTAACCATCAAATAATATCATTAGTACAGTTCACCCTGAGATGTTATACTCCCAAAAATAGTAAAAAGAATTTCTAATGAAAGTAAAGATTTATTCCAGTTATTGTATTTTTTAATAAATTATTGATCAGGATCGTTGGTCCCTGTATGAATGCGTGATGGTCAAGAGTGCATTTCACGTCAACAAGTGTTTAGTAAATCTTGGTTTTCCACAAGCACAAGACACTAGTCACCATGTTTCTGTTCTTGGCTCACAGGGATTTCCATCAAACAGTCATCAGATCACACATGATTCAACATGATTTATCATGAAAACCCTTCACCTCCATTGAGTTTTCCGTTTCCTGCTCGACACTCACTGACCAGAGAAACCCAGTTTCCCATCCACTGCAAAGTTATTTTCATGTTTTTATTATACATTGTGAATATGTATAGATATGGCTATATTAAATGGAAAAATTAGTATATTGCTATGTTTCTGCTCTGCACTGCTCATGGTCATGTGACATTTTATCATTGCACTGACTTTCTCTGGATGGTGGTCAGTCTCTTTTTCAATAGTATGAATGTTGAAAAGTAACTTAAATTTCCTTCCCTGCTCATGGATGAAGACAGTCATGTGCTGATGCATGTAATCTCTTGACTGTTTCTTAAGCTTATGCAAAATTCTGAAAGAGGAAGAGGCGACTTGAGACATAAAGGACTCGCCTACCGATTTCTAACCCGCTCTTAATTTTTCTGCTCAGATGAGATAACGGCAGACTGCTTTGGCTGTTTGAAGTGGTGTCCCTGTGGGCTACTCAGTGCTGAAAGGACAGGAGCAGAAACCGAAAGTGACAGATAGACCGGTCTTTGGCTTCAGCTCATCTGTTGTGCTCAGCGGCCTCCTGGTTGTCCATCAGGATGGTGCATTCAGTGTCACTCTGCGCCTGTCTGTCTCTTCTGACTGTCCTCAGCTGTCATTCTCATGTCCTCCCCCGACTCTCTTTTCCAATGGGTAAGGCTAATTTTTAAACTTGTGAAGATTTTGAACTATAATTTAGTAATTTACTATAATTTTTTGTACATTTTTTTAAATGCTGTTAGATATTTTGGTTACTTGTGAGCCGCTGTTGTTCTCTTTATCTTCAGCCCGTAGTGGTTATCAGGAGGTAAATTAAAGTGAATTTCAGACTTAAAGACCTCTGTGCCACTTGAGTTAAACATACGTAAACATACCCTTAGGATGCTTTACATCCTCATATCAGCATTGTAAATAATTGCATCTGAATGTTTCTTTTAATAGCATGAATGTGACACCTTCGGATCAGTGTTATTTTAGAATTATGTATTTACTTTTATAGAATTTATTAATATTTTGAATTAGCTACGTGTGTATTTTCTTATTATTTACTATTTCATTTTATTATAATATTTTATTACTATTTTTTACCTATTTTTTTTTTTTATAAATTTATTGATTTGAATTAAATTTAGGTGATTTTTGAATTATTTTATTATGTGCATTTGTCATTTTAATTTTTTTAAATATTTCTATTTACCTTAAATTTTGTTTTGTTTTGCTTCAATTTTAATACTTCAGCTTAACGAAAAATAAATGTAAATATTGCCTTGCCTTGCCAATGAACTGAAATTGTTTTTATCTAATATTTATATTTTAGTTTCAACTATTTTTGATAGCGTTAGTTTTAACTAGGGGTGTGCGATATTGACAAAAAATTATATCTCGATATTTTATGGGATTTTATCGATAACGATAATTAGACGATATTTTGCTGAGTGTGTTATTGTGCTGGTACCTTAAGGACTGCCGAAGACAGCTGACTCCTAATGTTTTTAATATTCTTCATATTCTGTGTGGTGGTCAGTTCATACTGATAGAAATTAATCTTTTCCAATAAGTTTAAACTGATTTTTGCATTTTATGGGCATTTTTACCTGATTAAAATTTGTTCTAAAAGTGTCCATTATCTTTTGAGTCAAATTCTTACATTTAATCAGGGAATTAGAATAATAAGACATCTGAGCAATTACCAAGCAAATTAAATCAACACAGAAGCTGCATCTGAAGTGGCATTTAGAT